TAGTGTTGTCTTATTCTGTCTGAGGCACCAAAACTTAAAGATTCTGGTCTGTTTGTAACTCCAATGTTCTTCTAACTTACGTATGTCTTAACCTCAATCCATGTCCCATCTTTCTTTAAAAGAATGGACTTTTTTCAATGAACTGTTAAAATGATCAAACTTGAAACTTTTTGGTAGTGTATATTTTGCTCCAGATTCGGGGGTGTTAGGTTTCTTCCAGTTTCAGATTATAAACTCTTCATCCTATTGAAGGCTTTTCTGGAAGAAACTATAAAGTCTATGATGACTGCATCCTTTTGCCTTTCTCTTAGTCTTGATCTTCAAACTGTCTTGACCTCTAGGATTCCTTTTCCTCCTCACCAGTCAGAATGACCCAAATAGAAGCCTGAGATGTGTGAAATAGAGAAGATGTGAATGTGGCTCCAAATAGAAGAAACGGCCTCATAGTCTGTAGATCTTTTGTCCTCAGCACATTGTTTATAGGCAACAGGATATGACTGACCTCTGGCAGAAAAATACTACAACAGTCAACTGGGGAGAGTGAAGTAGGCATCTTTGTGCTGTGTTGTTTGCTCACTGCTGTAACACAGTGATAGTGAAACTCAGGATCCGCTGTTCAGGCTGTTCGTAGTGAATATTTAAGTTACTTTACCATACTGCCAGAAGAGGCATAGCAACAACTTCAAGCAGTGATGTGTCCACTGGTTGAGTCTAGCAAACTGATAAGAAAAACACCTGATCTTTTGGGACTCTTTACCTGAATCCTTGAAGGCTGATCTGTAGCACTGAGTTGTTTGCTCATTTATTATTACTATTGTTAACATTTGCTACTTTGGAAAAAGTAGAATATCTGCTTCTTCTATTTGAAACAAGATCAAGGTGAATTTCATTTAAGGAAAGATTAAGTACTCTAATGTGATAGTGAGAAGCTATTGAAAAAATAGTGTAATGTAGATCAAGAATGTGAAAGTTCCTCTTTAGACTCTTGCTTGTGATTTCTAAAAGGTTATCTGTCCACAAAATGCTGGTTTTCATTCTTCCTTTTTTTTTTATTTGGAGATATCATTTCATGGCACATGTGGGACAGCCAGGAGATCTGGCCCAGCTGTCTCTACCTAGACTTTAGCAAAGCCTTTGACACTGTCACCCACAGTATTCTCCTGGGGATGCTGGCAGCCCGTGGCCTAGACAGGTACATTCTTTGCTGGGTAAAGAACTGGCTAGGGAGCCAGGACAAGAGTTTGGTGGTGACTGGAATTAAATCCACCTAGTGACCAGTCATGGCTGGTGTACTTCAGGGGTTGATATTGGACCCATCCTGCTTAATATCTTTACTGATGATCTGGATGAGGGCACTGAGTGCACCCTCAGTAAGTCTGCAGATGACACAAAGTTGGGAGGAAGTGTCAATCTGCCTGAGTGTAGGAAGGTCCTACAGAGGGGTCTGGACAGGCTGGGTCACTGGGCTGAGGCCAATGGGATGAGATTCAACAAGATTAAGTGGCAGGTCCTGCACTTTGGTCACAACAACCCCATGCAGTGCTACAGGCTTGGAGCAGAGTGGCTGGAAGGTTGTGCAGAAGAAAAGGACCTGGTGATCGGTCAGTGCTTGGTTGAACATGAGTCAGCAGTGTGCCCAGGTGGCCAAGAAGGCCAGTGGCATCCTGGCTTGTATCAGAAATAGTGCAGTCAGCAGGAGCAGGGAGGTGATCATCCCCTGCACTCAGTGCTGGTGAGGCCACAGCTTGAGTACTGTGCTCAGTTTTGGGGCCCCTTACTACAAGAAGAACATCAAGGCCCTGGAGTGTGTTTTGAGAAGGGCAGCAGAGCTGGTGAGGGGACAGAAGCACAAGTCTTACAAGGAGTGGTTGAAGAAACTGGAATTGTTTAGTCTTGAGAAGGGGAGGCTCAGGGGAGACCTGGTTGTCCTCTACAACTCCCTGAAGGGAGGATGTGGTGAGTTGAAGGTCAGCTTTTTCTCCCAGGTAACAGCAATGGGACAAGAGGGAATGGCCTCAAGTTGTACCAGGGGAGGTTCTGGTTGGATGTTAAGAAAAGTTTCCTCTCTGAAAGAGTGGTCAGGTGCTCGAATGGGCTGCCCAAGGAGTTGATGGAGTCAGTGTCCCTGGAGGTGTTCAAGAAATATTTAGATGTCATACTGAGGGACACGGTTTAGAGGGTAACATAGGTGGTAGATGACTGTTAGACTAGATGATCTGAGAGGTCTTTTCCAACCTTTATAACTTTCTATATAATTTCCCCTTTCAATTATAAAGAAGATCAAGAATTAAATTAAGGTTGCAGAATGATACCCAAAAGTACTGGATACAAGAGTTGAGACTTTTGCTTTTGTTAAATTTATTCAGAAAAATATTTCTGTGAATTAAGCAAGACCATGGACATCTGGTTCTTTTAAGCTTATGTATCTCTACTGTCAAGAAGGCAAGTGTATTGCTTACTTTCAAACTTGTTATTAAAAACAAAAAATGCTTTCTTCTTGTAGATCCAAGTAAATTAACGTCTTTTCCTTTTGAACCACATTAGTCCTTTTATGAGATTTTTTTTTTTTCCTGCTACTCCTATTTTTGAAGCTATAAGCTATTCTTTTTGGAGCTTTCAGTATCTGCTTTTGTCCAGGTACCATACATTATCTTTTTTTAAGCCAAAGAATTTATTTGTTGCTAAGTATTTGCCTCTGTATGAAGGATTCTCTTGTGTCAGGTGTACTGGAGGGTTAATAACTGGAGAACGAAACCACTGCTGTGCACAGATGTGTTGGGGTTCCCTCAGCAACCGACCGAAGCAGCGTCCTGGCAAGCTAATTACAGCAGCTGAAATGTCTCAGCACATGGCACAGTAATAAGAAGTAACACCCATCTGGGTGGGCTGGCAGCAGCCAGACCTTACTATCTCGCTGGTGTTCTCTCCCTCATTCTGAATCCCTTGCCTGTCTTTAATCCTGCTGTATTTTAAACACCTGTCTCTCTGGAATGTGTGAAACATCCCTTTTACCTACACGAAACTATTTGCTCACCTGCTTTGCTTAGAAAGACAGCTTTCAAAAAAATAGCGGTTATAATATTAGAGAGGAAAGCATATCACATTAATAGAGCAGGGATGAGCTGATAATTCATCAGATTCGATGTGTCTTGGTATCAGAATGCTGGTGAGAAAAGGCTGGTTAAAGTCATTGTAGTTTTACATGTCTTTACGAGCAAAGTTGTGACTGCTGTTACTGACAAGCTAAGAATTGTATCTATACTATTTGTTTCATGTACAATGTTGGCCTCTGTCTTCCTCATTTACTATTCGTGGTTGCTTTTTTTTGTTCAGATCATAAAAACTTGGTGGCCACAGACTGTCATTGTTATGTATTTGTATGGTGTCTGGCACTATAAGACCTAGTACTGATTTGATATTTTCTATTGTTGCAATGAAAAGGCTTTAAATAATTAAGTCTACAGAAGGCTTAAATTTAAAGGCGAAGCAGAGGGGCCAAAGTGACTTCTAATGCTCTTTTCCATATGAAGTGGGTAGCACTGCTCATTTCTAAGCTTGCCCAGCGTGTTCTACTGTAAGACCTGGAAACTGTGACTTAATGCAGGAGAATTATGCACAGGCTGAAGGAAGAGTGGGATAGGATATAACTGGGAAAGAATATGGCAGAAGGAGGATCCATTTTGGAGAACTGGGCAGAAGAACAGTGTGTAATTGCAATAAATTAATTCTGTCCAGAACTTGAAGTGTTTTCTGAATTCAGGAAGTGGCTAAATGCCTTATAGTACTAAATTATTGAAAGGGTGACATCATCTTGTGTTGCCAATTACCATGTTAGTTTACGTTACAGAGTTCAATCAGAGCAAATGGATTGTGCAGTTCTGCATAAGACTTGTAGGTGTGAGTGCAGCATCACACAACGCAGCTTGTATATACTTGTTATAATTAGAGTAATTCCATGCAAATACTGGTAAAAGAGCATTGTTAGGGTAGCAAAGCTGGGAATTTGCAAGCTATGCTTATGCATTTATAAGAAGTTAAGTTACAATTAGGTAACTTACCTTTGAGATTTGGAGCAGATGCAGGGCTAGATTTTCAGTTCTTTCCAGTTGTCCTGTGTGCCATTGGTTACACACCTTTCAGCTGCCCCAGAAATGAGCGGGGTAATACACACAAGTTGCCTTTTCCATATGACCTTAATCTTAGTGTACAGTTGTTCTGTACTTCTAAAAAAGCAATATGTGATCACATTGTTAAAGATCATCAGCCTTTATAGCATTTTCAACATTCATAAAATGTTTTAAGGTGCATTATTAAACTTCTGCAATAGTTGCCTTTACTGTATGAACTTAGGCTCTCTTCTGCAGACCAGCAGGCTGTGTATGCTCACAGTTTGATCCTTTCAGAAGACATGTGAAGAATGTCTAGAGAAAGAAACAATGAAATATGTTTTAGATGCTTAAAACAAATTCATGATTTCTTTAGAACTTGATAAAACAAACTTATACCAAATCTGATTTTAGGCTATCGTTGACTATTTTATATAGCTACCTGTGTGAACAATTTGAAGGTGGTGTGGGTAGGAATGTTCATTTGTGTGTGATAGAGTTAGACACTGAGTTTTAAATCAGATGTGCATATGTTGATGCGTTGTGCATTTACTGTGGAGTAGGGTATGGAGAGGACAGAGTGCATATGGCTCATTCAGTGACACAACTTGTGATGACTGGACAGACACACTGAGTTCAGAAAGTGCAATATAAGCACCTGTCTTTTACAGAGTTAATTTTTTAATATAGAAATTTTTTTTAACTGTGTCCTTGTTATCAGTTCTATAGCAGGATATGTTTTCCTGCTTTAGGATTTTTGCCTGATTCTTGTCTTTTTCCTCCTCTGTGCTTTTACTTACTGGATAGAGTATGTATTAAGGTATGCTTAGTGCCATCTTTTGTTCGTTTCTTGGTTTTTAATGGTTTCTGATGTCTTTGTCATTGCCTCCACAGTTAACAAGCTTGAACTTAGCAAGTGGAGCTGTAGGCAAGGGGAATGCAGCTGTGCCCCCAGGCTACCGATCAGTGCTCAACAGAAAAGGGCCATTGTGGGCTGTTCAGTCAGACTCTCTTACAGATGACAGAAGATGCATCTCTTCAGCAGTCAGGTAAGTTAAAACTGATGCTCCATGTTTTTGAAGGAGAGTGCATCGTGCTCAGAAGCTCATCCGTAATTTTTTTGATCTCTTGCTCAGAAGATTTGGCCTAAGGACAAATACTTTTTCCTCTTCAGGACTACGGTAGGAATTAGGCTCATTGAAACTAACCTGTGTTCCTAGTACCAGCAGTTTCATGGTGGAATCAGTAAACAGATGAACACATGGAAAGGGAGGGAAAAGGAAAATGTCAGTTTCTTTTCTCTAATTATTTCTCATCTCTATAAGTTTCGGTGCTTTGGTGTCAAGACATAAGCAGAATGCAAACTTTTACCTGATGCTGTAGAAATCTCCACCAAGGACTCATCTTCATGCTTTTTCTTTGAATATCAATTTTCTATTGTTTAAAAATAGAGCAGTACTCTGTAGTGTTTTATTAAGGTTCCTTTTCAGATGGCTTCCTTCTGCTCTTTATTAGTTTTGGACATTGGAATTTGTATTTGTGGCTGATACACTCATGGGACTCAGGGAATTGTGATTCTGCAGGGAAAAAAAAGCTGTTTACCCCAAGGATTCTAGATCTTGGAAGTTAAGTGCCAGGTGAGCCTACTGCAGAAGTCTAGACTGAACACAGGCTCAGAACTGCTTAAGACATCTGATTTCTGCATTTGCTAGTGCTTTTTTGTCCTTTTAAATTCAATAACGAGGCAGGACTTCCACAACATGCATTTAGGCCTAGAAAACAATGTACAAGTGAAAATATTAATTCGTCTAATTGATTACTGGAAAATGGGGGAAGGTCAGAAAGGCAGATATACAGTATAGAAAGCATGTGACCTGGATGGTCATCTTTTCCCAAATGGGTTCTTCAATAGAAGGATTGGAATGGGATTTGGAAAGCTCAAGAAAAAAATTTCTTATTTCGTCAGTCACTGCTTTTCGTCCTGCCTAAAGAGGAGGAATGTGAGAAATGAATTCCTGGCCTGTTTCTGTTCCAGCACAACGTTTGCCTCTGGGGTTTGCAGTTATTAAGAGAGGTGGTGATTCTGCTCTTGGAGACCAGCCAGGGTAGCTATTACCTAATCCAAATAAAGAACCTATCCAACAGGTGTAAGCTGCCTTCCTCTCCTACACAGTTTGAGGGAGCAGCAGAGTGCAGGCTGTCATAGGCTGTTTCTCAGTTCTACTTACACCTTTGCATGGATTCAGACATTGTGGGAAAGGAATTACAGTCATAATCTTCTATGAGTCTCCACAGAAGGCACAGTAGTTACCACCTTTCTCTGAAGCCATTTCTGTCATATGTTGTTACCTGCCGATCTGACAACCTAGCTTTAATGTCCAGAGCTGCACTCTGAACTGTGCCTCATCTAGCATTCCACGTGTAGCTTAATGCTTATAGAAATTGTTCTATTTCTATACAAGGATCCAAAAGTTCTTCAGAAGTGTATGGCTGGTATAAGATTGTTACACTTTTTATGAAACATTTGGTCTTTCAGTACTTGAGTCATCCTTACTATTTTCAAACCAAGAGACAGAAAGACACCGTAAGACCCTTTGCTGCATTACTTTATTTTCATGGCTGCTTGCCTAAAATGTCCAGAATACTGGTAATTAGAAGTTTTTCATGAATATGGAGAAAAAATATCCTGAGACAATGCTGGATTACTTGGGCTGTGAACTTTCTTTTAATGAAAGAATTCCAAAAAGAGCATCAAGATCATTATATGCTGAAATAGCTAGTATTTCAAATGATTAATTTGCTGCTCGGTCTGTTACACTGGAGCTCAGCAGTTCACAGAGGGTCATCTAATGAGTGTCAGCCTGTGCTCAGTACTGGATGACTATGTGAAGAAAAGCTTCCTGTTTTCTTCCATTGAGGTTCTTGTCTAGCAGTTGTAGAATTTAGCAAGGATGGAAATGTTTTGTCAATGGGTCTCTTATCTGGCTTCTATTTGGCTCCAGTTCAAACATCTGCCTCTGAAACTCAGTCACTACAGTTTTTGCAGAGCTGTATGGTAAAACTAAGCCATTCTGCTGCTTACGAGTTTTGCTTGAAAATTTTATTGTGATACTTGTGAGCTATGAGATTCAGGGTATTATTAATAAATTTTTCTCCTTAATTTCAGCTCCCCCAGTACGATTTATCTAAATTTCTTTGGGCAGAAGTTAGTTCTCCATTTTTTTTTTGTGCTTGAATGTAGCCTCTGTAGAAGAGTTGCCAAATTAATAGTCAGCTCTGCCAAAAGACAAAGGCAATCTTGAGTTTGTAATACCGAGACAGAACAACGCTGGATATGTTAAAATGTTATATTATAAATCTATAGTGCAGTCCCTTTTAAGACTTTTTTTTTTAGTTACTTCCTATAAGCTTTGTCTCTGTTCCCAGTCAGACTGAGGTTTAGGCTTTCACTACGTCCGAGATGAAGAAAGTACAAGAAGTGTGATGTTCCAAGTTGCATAGGGATTCACTTTTGACTTCTGTAACATGGCTGTTAGAGGCCCTTTGCCATGTTTGCTGTAGCCTGGCCTATATTACCCTCTATAGCTCTTTGCAGCTCTGCCAAGCCTGCTCTCTCCTGTAACCATAGTCCTAAAGGTCTTATTCCAATCTGTCTCAGCTTCTTACTCTGCCAGTAAGAAATGTTACTTAGTCACATTCTGCCTTAGCCATGTGAACAGGTTAGTTATGCACTTTATAAGGAAAGTGTTTAAGATTGCTGCATATGATTTTATCCTAACATGAATAATGTAACCTAAGAACAACAAAAATGAAAGTGATTTCTTACTATCCACTGGAACTGATTTCCTGACACTGACCTGACTAGAAATGTGGCAATGGTCAGCTCCTGAAGACATTTTCAGTTGCACAATAAAAGTAGAAAATACTGTTTAAGAGAACAAAATTTATTGTTCAGAACCTAAACTAATTTCTGAGTACTGTTGGCAAATAGTTGCATAATCACCAATAATGGTGGTGGTAGGCTTTCCTAGAAGCTTCTGGCACTGGAATCTCCACTGGTATCTCACTTGTTTTTGAAACTGTTCTCAAAGAGTTTTTTGGGCTTTGCAAATCACTTAATTTCCATGACCTGGGCCAAAGCTAATGAGAGAGAAATCTTTCTAATTAGTACAGATTTCTGTGTTGTCAGTGGACAGCTTGGATTCTGCCATCCTTGCACAGGTTCATCTTTTAGAACTCACACAGGCAGTGTGTTGGCAAGCATTCAGCAGTGATACATGGCCAGTATTTTTCCAGAACCTTTGTTTCATTAGCTCCTGGGTCTTTCAGGACGGCTTTCTCAAAACTAAAGACACAACCAATCTAGCTCTGCATATTTTTTCCTTGTATCTTTTGACAGATTTATCTAACTTGGTTGAGGGAGGCAGGCAAGCGAGCTTCTCTGTCATCAGTGAGAAGCTAAAATGGCACTCCAACTTATACCAGACAGCTTAGATTCTGACTGCTATTAAAGTCAGAAACAAAGGATTCTGCTCTTCTCGTTGTTTAACATGCCGCAAATATTTCTTAGCTCACTTCTTAGCCAAGGTGCTCAGGCTCATCAAGAAATGATGTTTTGTTGACAGGCTCCCTGAACTGAGTTAAATGCTGAAAACAATGTTTTTCAGTTTTCTTATCTAGGGGTTTCTGTGTTTAAGTTGTTCTGTCATTTGTAGTGATAAGAACAGTTTAGGGCATTGTGGGTGTGTGCATATACCTGCCATGTGCCCAGGTTCCAAAACAGGTTCTGCTTTTTGTAGTTCTATTTTATTTCTTGCCTGGAAGTCTTGAGTGGGTTGGGAAAGCAGAAGATTCCACCCAGATATCTGGCATCCTAGGCTTTCAGGAACCCCTAACTGCCTAGCTCTGATCTGCAGTGAACCTGAGGCATTCTGGAAGAATTACCCCCATCTGGAGTACTGTGTCCAGGCCTGGGGCCCCCTGTGCAGGGAGGACATGGAGCTCTAGGAGGAGGTCCAAAGGAAACTAGAATGATCATTTCATAGAATGAAACTAGATGATCATTGTGGTCCTTTTCAACCCAGGCCCTTCTATGATTCTGTGATTCTATGAATTAGATGTGCTGCCCATCCACTGTATAGTTAAAGCATTCATGTAACTGCTTGTGGGCTGCACTGCATGTATTTTACTGGTCATGTGCAAATCAACACGGGCACGGTAAATCCAGCACGTCTTAAAATCACATCTTCCTCTGAGATTGAAAGATGTGATAATTGTATTAATCTTGGCAGTTAATGCTACATTTTTGTAAGAATATACCTGTTTCTCTTTGTTGCATGTGTACTGCCTTGTAGTTCTGCATCTCAAGGGTTAGTGGTAACTTTCCTGTCTTCCAAGTAGCATGTCTCAAGCTCCCTGCTGTCTCTGGACAGGTAGAGACTGTCCATCCTCTGTCCTGTGCTCCACTTGCCAAGTGGCTGGAGCCTGTTTGTTTGCATAGCAGCTGGGTGCACGCTGACTGTGAAGAGACTGTACTGCACTGATGCCTCTGGAGGAAATGAAGAGAGAAGGCAGCAGGCACTGACAGCCACAACAGACCTTCAGTTTCAAGAAACTCTGCAGTGACCTTAACACCTCCCTAACCTTGGCAGCACAGAAGTGCCAAAGCAGCAGCAGCAGAACATGACCAATACCAGTTCTGTGCCAGCACTGCCTTCCCTGTTCCTTTCTCCTAATACTGTTTCTCCCTTTTCTTTTTCCCTTTGAGGAAATGTCTGATTATGAACTCTGTCTGTCTGCACTGCACCACTTTTCTAGAGGCTTCATGCTTATATAGTCTTTTTCTTTCCTTCTGCTGTAAAGATGGCCCTTCTAATACCTAACAACAGCAGAGTGCTATCCTTGATCAGGAGTAGGAGTCCGCATTATGAGGCAAATCTCACACAGATCATTCCAATGCTGATTTCCCTCAGTTGTTAAACCACTGTGAGAGCCTCCAGCTCACAGTGTCCTTTTATCACGCTGCTTGCAGGGATGAGTGTTGTGTTTA